CCTTCCCTTCCCTTCCCTTCCTGCACCTTCCCTTTCTGCACCTTCACGCACCTTCCCTTCCCGCACCTTCCCTCTCTCCTAGACTGCATTTCTAAATCTTATCCAATTCAGAAGTGCCAAGACATTGGCCCTACTTTTCTGCAAAGGCTTTGGCTTGGTGCAAGAGTGAACACCAGTCAAATTTAGTACAGTCCATATGGAGTACAGCAATGAATAAGTGCTTTCATGGGAGGGCATTAATGGAAGGCCGGGGATAACTCACAGGGAGAAAGGGTCTGGAAAATATTTTCAAGATTTTGCTTTGAATCCTCCTGTTTGCTGCCCAGCCAACATGACCTGTGAAATGGAAAGAGCATGTCAGAACCCACAAATGTATCCACCCTTCCAACAATATTTCCAAACCAGTGCTTCCTCATTTAGGTGCTATAGAGAGAAAAATTTAGGTGGAATATAGAGAGAAAACCTAAAATGTAATAGACCTGGGAAAGGCATAGACCTCACTTTGATACTAGATAAGCTAAAGCCACATCAAAGAGTGGAGTGGAACAACAGGAGAGATGTCTGCTTGTCATTTGAAGAACATATTTCATCAATATTTGGGAAAAAAAATCAAAAATTTTTTCTGTGACAGTGTTTCTCCTGTATCAAATTAATGGTCACATACAAGTTCTTGACAGAAAATTCTTCACAATCTTCTTAGATAACTGAAATTCTCAAACCTGAGTTAGGTAAAATTTCTTCCCTTGTATGCTGGCAACTTGTTATTGCTATTTAGCCCAAAGGTTAGAATCTTCTTTCTGTGTCACTTTAAGTATTACTCCATACTTTTCAAATATATACTAATTAATATTAATAAATATCTATTAATTAATGTATTTTATTTGCATTTAATTATTTACAATATGATTCATCCATTTTATATGATTCTTTACTTCTCTCCTATTTACTATGCTAAAACTTGCTTTTGTGTGTGGGAGGATATGCTTTTCTGTATATTCTTGGTTCTCAGTTCACTTTAGGGAGTCAAAATATTTCAGTCCATAAGCTTTTGCAATACAAAAAAGCCCAGAACAACCCAAATCCCAAAAAATCCTTATATCCTTCCACTTCGCTACTCAGGTGAACTGCAACACAGGTGGAACAGATCCACACTTCCATCCATGGCCCCCACGGCATGGGAGGGCAAATGGTCCAGCTTCAGAGCAGAGTATTAAAGTGAATGAGCCAGCTTGGAAGACAGATCATCCAGAAGGTGTGGCTAGTTTCTTTAGGGCCTGTGACCTGTGGGTGTGATAAGAGCTCCTTATGAAGGAGGCCCCAGCTGCAGTCACTCCAGAACAGTTTGCAGACTTTGGCCCTTGCTGCCCTTGGAGTCATTGATTACAGTGCAAAGTCCATGCTTGAGAAAATAGCTGACATTGTCAGGTCTTTCTCTGAGATGCCTCTGTGATTAGCTAGGAAGGTGAGGATCAAATTTGGGTTGCGCTGAGTAGAGTGTGTTTGGGTGCTGTGCACCTTCTTCTAATACCTTCTAAAGTGTCATTTTCCCATTGCAGATTGACAAGCGCTGAAGAGGAGGTCACCAGGGCCCTGGCCAGGATGCATTCAGCATTTGGCAGTGCTGTATTGAAGGCAGCAGGCAGAGTCCTATTCAAAACTGTTCTTTCTTCCACCATCCTTTCTGTACTTCATCCTTGCTAGAGGTCTTGTTTCCAGGCTGCTGACTGTGAGAAACTGTAATTCCTCAAAAGAATCCCTAATTACAGCAGCAAAAAGCTCACATCCTTTACACCATCATGAGATACTTTTGAACCACCTGAGAAGCTGAGGGGGATCTAACCTATGGAGATACAATGTCTTAGTCCAGGTGATGTTATTCTGGTTCTTCAACCAAAATGATTAATATATTTAGTGCAGAAAAGCACTTCATACATCTCAAAAGCCAAAGAGAATGTGATCTCTATATAACAGAGACAGTGCTATGATGACAGAATCACAGAGGTATTTAGGTTGGAAGGCACCTTTTGAGATCATCTAATCCAATTCCCCTGCTCAAGCTGCAGCAGCTGAATAAGGTTGTTTAGGAAGGTGTTCAGCCAGGTCTTCAATATCTCTATAGATGGAGACTCCCATCAATGACCACTGCTTGGAAGAGTCTGGCTCCCTTTTCTTTACTCCCTCTCATCAGATATTTATATACACCAATAAGATGCCCTCTGAGCCTTCTATTTTTCAAGCTTAAGAGTTTCAGCTGTTTCAGCCTCTTCTCATATCAAAGATACTCTATTAAAAATGGCCTTGAGCATATGGCATGTGAGGTCCACTTTCTTGTCTGACCTTCTGCAGGGCCTTAACACAAACCAAATAACAAATAGTATCTGGGGAACCTCTTTCAAAAAGTCATTCAGGCTTGATCCAAAGACAATTGGTCAATTATAAATGGCAGTGTGAACATTCTTGCTCTTACGTATTTGTATGATAACCTAACCTGAATTTACCTAACCTGCTGCTGAAGCTTCTCAGATGGAGAAAAGACATTTCTAATACCTGTTAAATTTCTCCAGACTCCTGCACAGTTTATATTCACTGTGGTCACAGGTAGGACCACAAGCTATGAAAATATATTTTCAATTAATTACATTGTGTAAAACTATCAGACTGAAGATCAGGCTATGCATATAACTGATGCTTTACTTAGGCTTCACAAAGCATCTGTCACACTGTGCTTCTGTAGTGCCTGCATCAGTTAGTTGAAAAACAGATGTGATGCTGCCACAAAATGTCGTCATATTTTGAATTGAGAATAAGCATCTTTATGCTCTCTGATCTCTCAGTCTTCTTATTGGTTCAATGCCTTCAAATAACTTTCTGTCTAAATCAAGCTCTCAGATTGTCCAGCCCGCTTGTCCAGCTCTCAGATCTGTTTCATGGCTCTTTTCTAAAGCCTCATCATTTTTCTCCTCCCATCCCCCACATTAAAACCCCAACTGTCTTGGGGGAAATGCCTCCTGTCACACATTTAGCTAGAATGTCCCCCTGCCTTATGCTGTGGCCTCAAGATCTCTTGTCACAGGAATGACACACAGGCTGCACTACCTTATACATCCATTATGAGTCCAGAGCTTTTCGAAATTACTGGGGAATGTTGGGGAAAAAATTAACTTCCTCCTCATGCCTCTTTATGGGTGATGCAAACCTGGTTTCTACCTGAATATTTCTGCATCATGTTAAAGCACATTTTGCTCAAATGGATTTAGTGTACCAAGTAATTCAGACCACTTCACTCAGTTGTTATCACACTTCTGCTTAGAGGCTGTATAAGGACCCCACCTGCAGGCACTTCCCACCAACCTCTAAATTGTTGATTTGAAGCAGTTCTTATCCTGGTATTGGTTCATATAGCACCTGCCAGAAATGTCCCATTCACTGGTCATTTCCTGAAAGTTATCTGTACAAATTCCTCCTGTCATTGGTCTAAACCAAGAAGCCACACATTTTTAATTAATTTTTAAAAGCCCAGTATATAATGGAAAATAACATATTGTATTGTTGTTCTCATCCTACACAATTTTTTTTCAATCCTAACTCTAATACTTTTAGCTTTGTCATTGATCTAGAAGAAAACACTGAAATCATACAGAAAATGTTTGCAAATGGCACAAAAAGGGTTTGGGTAGATAATGTATTACTTGGTAAAACTAGTGCATGTACATACACACAAAAGTGTTTCAAATGACCAAAGAAGTCAGGATTTTAGTATGGCATTGGATAGATGACAGGAAAAAGAAAAAAAAAAAAAGTATAGTAATACATGCATCTAGGTTCTTCATGCTGACTAATGGCACTACGTAAATCCAGTAACGTAGATTTGGTATAGCCTCACTACTTTTGCAGGCCTTAAGACATTGGATGATCCAGAACTGGAGTAGAAATAATCTAAAGTGATAAAGATACACATCTAACTGTTACAGATACAAGTCTACTAGCATAACAGAACAAGGAATACTGATTTTACAGATTCCACTTTTGCATTCACTTTGTTAAAGAAATGCCCAAAAAGAATCAGATGCAGGAAACATCAGCAGTAAGAGGCTGATGCTAAAACTAACATTTTCCAGATGCTAAATTTAAAAAAGTAAGCTTCCCTTAAACAAAACAAACAAACAAAAAACAGAGACAGCTGTTCAGCTTCACGTAGGCTGAGACGACTGTAACAAAAGAAGAGAGATCTGTTCTGAGGCAATGTACCCCTTAAGTGAACTCCAATTTCTGCAGAGGTTCCTATATACAGATACCATGACACAGTCTGAAATGTAATCTCTGAAAATCAGCTGAGTTAGGGAAGCTGTATTTCTGAGGAGCTGGCAACCTGTTAGCAGCTTCTTCACTACAGCTGAGAATATCACACACCAGTGGAATTTGTATTTTTATAAAAAACGTATTTTCCCATTTGCTTTGCATTCTTTTTTATCTACTTTTTATGATGTTTCTTGAAATGTTAAAAATATATTGATATAAAGAAAGCCTGGGTAAATGTCCTGAACTCTTCTGGAGGCTGATAGATCAACAGAACCAGTTACTGGATGTTTTCTATCTTTTTAATTATATCGGTGAGCCCACAAGTTCAGCAAGCTACCACTGGTGTCCCCAGTTTGACAGAAAAAGGACAAGAGAAAGTCATGACAATAGCAAAAGGGCTGAAAATTACAGAGGGAACTTCCAGTGAAGCCGTCTTTATAGCTTATCAAACAGATAGTGAAGCATTTACCCTATAATCTGCATACACCTTTCTGAGTACTGGAATTTCACTAAAAAGGGCTCTCTCAGTTACATCAAAGCATTATATAAAAACCAATAAATGAAGCTGAAGTGAGGTGATTTCAAACCTCTATTGTGGTCCAGATTCTATGAAGAAGGATATTTACCCCCAAAAATCTCATTGAACATTATATAAGAACATTCTTCCCTCTTTGTAACTTTTGGTTCAAGAATGGCATCTTTTTTTTTCCTTAAAAGGTCCACTCTGATGCAAACCACGTTTAATACAGCAAGGGATAAGAACAGATTATCACAATGTTTGCTTATGGATTATTGCTGGTAGATTTATGAGCTTTTTTCTAAAACTGGTCAGCAGGCTAGTGCTTAATCTCGCTGCAGAGAATGTCATGACTGTGCCGGTAACAGAGCTGCGTATTGCTATTCTGGGCAGAGACACCCAGAAGCCTCACCGGAGAGCCCCGTAAGCCTTTCCGAGCATGCAGCATGCCACAGCCTCCACACAGCAACCTCTTCGGACAGCAACCGGCAGCAACCTCACTTGGACCAAGCCACATTACACCTTTCTCCCAGCCAACGCCAGGACCACAGCACCATCCCACCGAACACAAGTGGACACAAAGCGACCTTCCAGGGAAAACCCACGAGCTCGCCACCAACCCGCTGGGGGAAATGGATGCACTCCGCATTGTGCCGGCACACCACGCTCGAGTCTCCAAGACCAGTATGAAAGGGGTGGGTACCCTTTCACACGCCTGTCCAGTGTCTTTCATCCTCCCACTGCTGTAACTTCCCAGTGACCTTTCCGTCTGTACTAAGCCTCTCACCTCCATCAGCGCAGGAAAGCCAGACAGCCGCGACTGCCTCGCTCCCCTCGCTGCAGCCGCCGGGCTCAGCTGCGCCAGCAGCCGGAGTGGGCTGCCAGGCGCTACGGGGCTAAGCGTGACGCTCCGCCCCGTCCCCATGGTTCTGGTCCTGGGGGCACTCTGTCTCCCTCCTGAAGGTGACCTCCGGGAGGGAAGAAAAGAGGGGGAAAGGGGGAAGGAAAGGATTACCCATCTACCCTCTTAATGGTTAGATGTGTTTCAGGAGTCAGGGTGGGATTGTTTCTGCTCTAACCATAGCGTTATAAACCCCCAGGGACCCACTGGCAGACCCACCTCGTTCAGCCCTTTGCTCCAGCTTGGGCTCTCGTTACAGCTGAAGGAGTAAAGTAGCTCCCTGGGCTGAAACAAGGTCCTTGCTCCAGGACTGTGCCAAGTAGGAGTCTGTTCTTGATGGCAGGGATCAGAACGACTATGGGCTGCCCATGCTTGTCCTTGGCTACTAAAGGTGCCTGTGCCAGTGAGCATCAGAGACCAAGCACAAACCATGGCTGGCTGAAGGACCCCTCTTGTGGCCCAGTGGGTCAGGGTCTTCAGACACACTGGTACTGCAGAGCATTGTGGTGAAGCTGAAATCATTAATGATAACTACGATGACTTGCAAGCATTTCATCTATTCTCAGTAACTGCCCCCAGAGCATATTCCTGTGCCAAGGTCTTTCTTCTTCCACTTGAGCATGGAGATGAAAACAGCTCCTGGGTGCATGGACACTATGGAGGCCCTGGATCTTGGCTCTTGAACGCTGGTTTTTTCTCAAGGAAGTGGATCAGGTTGTGTATCTGAAGCAGTAGTGCATGAAGCTATTACATGGGTGTGTCACGGCACTGGCCTCCCTAGAGCCAGAGCCATGCTGGGCACTCGGAGTGATGAGCCTCAGCACTCCCTGGGGGCAAAGAACTGGGAGGAAGGCTGGGAGAGGTGAAAGACAGTCTAAGAGAAAAGAACAGCCCCCATAAATGTTAATACTCTGGATCTCCAGCACAGGACTGAACCTTCTCACCTGATTTCAGAAGGAAGAAAAATTATGCCAAGGGCTTGTGACTCAGTGCTCTGCCCTCACAGAGGGGCAACAAGGTGAAATGCACTGGACTGCTGGCACAAGCCTATGAAGTGCCAGTCTGCTGTCATTCAGAGACGGTGCAAATCAAAGGGCAAGAGGAGTAGCAGAGTCAGACTCCCAGCTGTCCCTGTGCTTCTGGATAAGAAGTGGGGAGTGAAATTATTTTGCTGATGATTTTAGGTCTTGTGCCATTCAAGGCTGTGTTTTCATACCCATTCGGAAAGGTGTGATTTGGAACAGCCTTCAGTGTGCAAAGTCCCTACAGGCAGGAACATTTCAGCTAGGAGTGATGTGAGTGTACCAAAGAAACCTATCCAATATCCAAGAACTCAGCACTGGGATAAATTTAGTGTAACCACTGTTCTCCAGGAACAGGGACCCTGTATAATCTAGTCTCTGGTGGAAAGTGTGAGACTCTTGCCTCTACTTGAGAGACAAGTCAGAACCAAAAAATGTTCCTGGGGACTTGCTATAATTTACAGTAACAACACAATGCTGGGAAAGCAGCCCAGTTTCCCTGACTCCCCCAGTTCCTGTCTCCTTCTCTCCAATCACGATCTTAAACATGCTTCCAGCTATAGAAACAAGATACAGTAGTTTTTCTTACTTTCCAGTTAATTTTTTGAGATACAGAATCCCTACATTATCCATTCCTATTGTGATGGGCATCTGCTGAGAGATTTGGTTTAGAGAAGAGACTTCTGCAGCCTTACCTGGAGTGCACTGACAAGTAGCAATTTTACTGAGGGCTTGCTCCTGATCTGCCATTCATCTGACTCTACATCTGCAGGTCTTGTCCTTCATTCCTCATTAACAGGGAATATGTCACGTACTGTGTATCACATGCATGTTTGAGAATCCCTGACCTCCACTCCCTGAGCACTGGGCACAGGACAGCTGTTAGACTCCTTAGAGCTGCTGCTCTACTAATGAAGTCCACACTAGTGCATTTCAGGACCTCCATAATGTAACACATACACCTCTCCCACCCACACTGCACACATTTTGTCCAGCTGGCTACCAAAATGTTGGTCAAAGTCAACACTGACATATTGAGTGAATATGGAAACATGATGTAACCAAAACTGCCTTAGTGTTTTGGAAAGTTTGGTCCCAGGCTGTGGAGGAGGTAGAGCTAGGAAGGAGGGAGGGGTGTGGGGAAGGTGATTTTTGAGGTCTTACTTTACTTCTCGTGATCCTGCTCTGATTTTGTTTGCAATAAATTCAATCAGTATCTCTCATTCAAGCATGTTTTGCCCCTGACAGTATTGGTGAGTGATCTCTCCTGGTCCTTATTTCAACCCATGAACCCTTCATTATATTTTCTCTCCCCTGTCCAGCAGCTGGGGAGTGATAGAGCGGTGGGTGGGTGTCTCACATCCAGCCAGGGTCGGCCCACTACAGTGACACACACAAGCATTGGATATGGCCTATGATATGTAACAAATACTGTATGAAAATGCATCCTTTTCCTCCTCTGAATTATGGTTGGTTTAACATGATGAATATCCTATCTCTTGCATGTCTAGCTCAGAATAGGCAGTACACAGAAGAATAATAGAACAGGAAAATTTCCAAGAGCCAGACATGGCAGCCAGTGTCACAGCCATAGCAGTGACAACTGCATGAGGAACAGCTGGACTAAAGTAACTACAGTAAAGACAACAGTCAAGAAGGGCTCTCCTTTTCATCCTTCTTTCTTTCCCCTTATTGCACATCCTCAGTTTACACACAGCAAGCTGTTTCCCTCACATCAGAACAGCAGCAGTTCTTCAAGTACAGGCATTCACAGCTCTAAAGGATCAGCTCTGATCCCCTGATAGAGAGTGCTCTGTAGTCAGATTATGCCAGATGTATTGTTCCAAAGGGACACTGCCCCTCCAAAGTGAAATCCACCATTTTCCAGCAAGTATCTTAGAACCACAGAGGGAACTAGCTCTCCCAACACACTTTCAGAAGGATACTCCATTTCTCAAGTGTTGGCTTTAGTGTGAACCCTTTTTCAAAATAAACCTGGCTAATGACTTATGATTTCCACAAGAGCTGTGTGAGGAGGTCTAAACTTCTGTTTCAGGGTTACCCAGCCGCACACAGCTATTTGGTTCTCATTCTTTATTATCAGAGGCACCAACAGCATGTAGGGGGATGGAAGATTTGACGCCATTTGAACCCAACAGAGCACTCTTTGAAGGTGTGGAGGCTTATCAGCAGGGGTATGTGTGAGAGAAAGTTGCTGAAATATGAACGTCAGGCTCTTTTACCTAAAGGGCCTAAAATGGCACTACTCTTTTAATATTGTAGTCTATGGCAATGTTCAGTTTGTCTCTATATTTTCAAACTGACTACAAGCATTTACTCAGAACATCTGTGATAGCAGCTTTTTAGAGCAGTCACAATCCCTTCATTTCCAGCACTAAATTTTGCTCAGCCTTTTTCAGATCCAGTTTTGTGCCTGACACTGGGGAATCACTCTTTGACTTTCCCCATTGCCCTTCTTCTTCTTCTGTTAATAATTCTGTGAGCTGCCAACACTTTCCTCCCTCCCTGCCTCAGCAGATAGGTATGGAAGCCAGTCTGCAAGGTACTACAAAGTGTGGGCTGCCTCAGAGCTGAGGCCCTGAGCTCTCCTCAGGCACAGGCAGGGTGCTCAGAGGAGTCCACCAGCTGCACAGACCATTTGTGCTGTGAGGTCATTCAGTGCTACCCCATTACTGAGGAATCTGCTGGCCGTCTTCCTGACAGTGTCGTAAATGTCCCACCTCACTTTCCAGCTAACACAACAGTCACACTGAGCCTGGGCCCTGCTCCCCAGAAGTGCTTCCCAGCTATATTCCCCATCTTTGTCAAAGTCCCTCACACCTGAAACCTCTGGTCACCCACTGAACACTGTATGTGATTCAAAGTGTTCTGCTTGTTCCCACTTCAACCTACTCCCTTCACATTGCTGTTAGGTGCATTGGCTGCAGAATGATTGAAAGAGACAGTACTAATCCAATGGAATCCATGAGCACTGATCCCAGTGCCTCAGAGCAATGCTGGGGCAGTGCCCTTCCAACCCAGCATGGGGACAGGGATCCACAATAGCTGTATTTTTAATCTTTTCCATCTCTCCCAGCCTGTTCTCCAGGGCTTAAAGCAATATAAAATATCCCATAACCATAGTGTATATCGGTCTTCTCACTGAAACTTTATGGCTTATTTGTCACCACAGGTAGGAACTGTTCAGGAGGCAACTCAGCTTGCAGCTCCCTCCCTAGCCTGGCAAGGTGGTGCCACTCCAGAAGGCTGAGTTGTCTGGGGCTCCAGATGGCTTAGTGACATATACTGGGAAGAGAAGAATTGATGTTGAGATCTTGCAGGAAAAAAGGATAGATTTGCAGAAGAGTGGACTTGGGTGGTGGGGCAGGGACAATTTGTTTAACTGGGGAAGTTTTCTTCTGTCAGGGCAGAGAGATGAGACAACTGATCCTAAGCATCTGGGATCCAGGAGACAAGGGAGAAAAGGCTGGCAGGACATGGTCTCTCCAGCCAAGTCTTGTCCCAGTTTCCTATAAGGTGAGAGCAGGCAGGCCCAGGGATGGACTTGGGTTCAACTGAGAATCCAGATCACCAGTTGAGCTTGTGGTGGCAAAGCAGGTCCAGGTGAGAAGTTGGTTTGTAGATCAGTATCACTCCTGGTGGTGGCAGACAGTGCGAGTCACAGTCTGTGGGGGACAATGAGCCAGCCCATGGTACAACCATCCCTCCAGGGAGGGAAGAGAGCTTTTAGGGGCCACCTATCCCCAGCAGGTTTCCTGTTTCATGTTAATTTTATGTTTCTCATTGGTTATCTCCTTGGGACCGCCCTGACTTACAGGGCATAAAAGGTCAACTTCTCAATAAACCCCTTGGCATTCATTCACAGATTTCTTGGGGCAAAGAGCTGCATTAGAACCTCCAAGAGATCAGCTACAAAGACCCGTTTCTCTTTTCTCTGCATTGCTCC